GTGTTCGAAACTCCCATTGTTCTAGGCGCATTTTGCGACAGGGAATTTAATTAGTGCGAGCAGTTTCTGAGCTCTGGGCATAGTACTGCCTAAGATTTCAAATTAAAACTGCAGTGTGGAAGGAAAAGAGGACCTTTTTTCTGCCTCCCCACTTCCAGCTGCTCTCTGAAGAATAGAGAAGAGACCCTCTTGAGAATATTAGGGGAGTGGGCAGGGGAAGATGAACATAATATTTTGGCTGCAGTTCATTCATTTTCAGCTTTGTGTTCTTGTTACAAAAAAGCGCACCTAGACATTCCGTTGTTGTGCCCGTACCCTAGGTTTAAGGTGCCATTTAGCTCCTAGCTTTCATATCTCAGTTTCTAACACTGCTCACAAGACTGTTGTGAGGATAAAAGGAACTCTGTGTGCCACTTTGAGCTGCTTGCAGAAAAAGATAGGATACAAATTAAGTAAGTAAATAAGTAAATGTAAATAAACTGCAGTTGTCTTCCACTTTTTCAGGCCTGAGGTCGACCTTTAACCCAAATATATATTAGAGGTCCTATTTCTTAATCCTGCCAACATATCTTGATGGTGATAGTTCTGCAGTGGTAACTCATTTTGGATCGGGCCACAACCCAGTCATGGATCCTGAACCACCAGTTGAAGACCAATGATCTATTAGATACAACACAAAAAGAAAAAGGAATGGGGAGAGGCGAGGAAACACAAGCATCAAGAGTAGCTGCTCCGTCTTTGACTACTGGATTGAGGCAAAGTTAGCATCCCCTTACCATGGCAGTGTTTCTAGGAAGCAGGAAGTGGCCTGGACAGTGGTGGCAGAGAACATACCATGCCTCCCGTTAGTTCTCCAGACCTTTTTATTTATTATGGTCGTTATTACTCCTGGTGTCTCAGCTCCAGCTGTTAAAGGGATCAGATTGTTACTTCCCAGGCTGCCTCTAGACCCCAGAGCCAGGAAGCAAACCTTTTATGACATCATGGCTTTCCTGCCCTCCTCCCTCTAGCTTCCCCCAGTCTGTCTCCACCTGAACCACACACCTGGAGAAGGCAACTCACCTGGGCACCCTAGTGCCACCCAACAGCCATCATGAGGGAAGCTGATCAAATCCTGGTTGATTGACTTACTTGTTAAGCAGGGAACCACCTCTTTCATCAGACACAATGAAATCAGGTCAGTAGAGTAATGCAGTCCCTGGGGACTGGTTCCTACAGCAGAAGACTATACATCCAAGCTGCTGGGTTTTTAAAGCATAATGTATGAATGAGACGAAACTGTGCATACTATAGGCCAGGAGAGGGGAACCTTTTTTTTTTCTGATAAGGGCCAAACTTCCCTTATAGACTCCTTTGGAGGCCATAACCAGAGCACAAAGTGCATGGACCCAGAAACAGAACAGGGAGCCAAGAACAGAAGTAGCCAGGGCACCCCCCCCGCCTCTTTCTGCCACCCCTTTTCCCCATTCTCCTCACCACAACCAGCTGCATGACATCAGGCCACAAGCTGCCCATTCTATGGTTTCTGCTCTAAGTACACACACATCAGGGAGTCAGGATTGGCGGGTGCTGCTTGTCAGGTGTGTACACGAGGAGTGAACACATCCTCAACTAACCAGCTACTTTCAGGTGGAGTGGATAATTTTGGCCCATGGCCCGTTGGCTTCCGTACCATTACGGTGTTTTGTGGGGGGAGGAGATTTTTGCCTCTGATGTCAGGTGGCCAAACTTATTTACCTGCTCTTTCATTAAGCTACCTGGGCCCTGCCATCATCATCTAAGGCCCTTTTCCATATGCATCCTCAGAAGGAGGTGCAGAGGGTGGCAACGGAAGAGGAGGCCTTTTCTGTGGGGTCTTCCTGTCTGCAGTACACTCTCCCCAGAGTCCAACTTTAGTCAGTATTTAGACACAAGACTAATATATTCCACTTTGGTATTTAACCTAGAAGAGTTTGGATTTGATATCCCGCTTTATCACTACCCTAAGGAGTCTCAAAGCGGCTAACAATCTCCTTTCCCTTCCTCCCCCACAACAAACACTCTGTGAGGTGAGTGAGGCTGAGAGACTTCAGAGAAGTGTGACTGGCCCAAGGTCACCCAGCAGCTGTATGTGGAAGGGAATCGAACCCGGTTCACCACATTACGAGTCCACTGCTCTTAACCACTACACCACACTGGCTCTTGATCACACTGCAGGGTGATTTATGCCATTTGTGGTGCTCATCTTTTACTGGGGTGCAGGTGGGGTGAAGAGTAGGATTCGTACCTTATATTCATTTTGGATGAGCACCTCTATTCATTTTGGTGCAGTTTTAGTCTATCTCCATCTTGTTCCAAAATTTCACAATATTTCGGCCATTTAACCTCCATATTGAGCTTTTTCTGAGCTTTCGCTTCCATCGGTGATAGCCACCTTGGGGTTTTATTTTCCAATAAATCCTTATATCTTATCCAAACATTAAATAATGCTTTCCTAACAGTATGATTTTTAAATGCTTTATGTGCTTTGACCTTATCATACCACAAATATGCATGCCATCCAAATACATTGTTAAAACCTCCCAAATCCAAAATGTCTGTGTTTTCAAGAAGTAGCCATTCTTTCAACCAGCAAAAGGCTGCTGATTCATAGTAAAGTTTAAAGTCTGGCAGGGCAAATCCACCTCTTTCCTTTGCATCTGTTAATATTTTAAATTTTATTCTAGGCTTCTTGCCCTGCCAGACAAATCTTGAAATATCTCTCTGCCACTTCTTGAAACAATCCACTTTGTCCACAATTTGCAATGCCTGAAACAGAAACAACATTCTGGGCAATACATTCATTTTTATAGCAGCAATACGGCCCAGCAATGAAAGCTTCAAATTTGACCACATTTCTAAATCTTTTTTCACTTCAACCCAGCATTTTTCATAGTTGTCTTTAAATAAATTCCCATTTTTTGCTGTCATATTGATCCCCAAGTATTTGACTTTCTTAACCACTGTTAAACCTGTCATATTCTGAAACCTCTCTCTCTCTATTGGTGTTAAATTTTTCTCTAAAACCTTGGTTTTTGACTTATTCAGTTTAAACCCTGCAACCTGACCAAATTCTTGAATCAGTTCTAAGACCCTTTTAGTACTAGATTCTGGCTCCTGTAACGTCAATACTAAATCATCTGCAAATGCTCTCAATTTGTACTGTTTGGCTCCGACCTGTATACCTTTAACCAACTGGTCCCTTCTAATCATATTCAGCAAAACCTCCAGGACCAATATAAAAAGCAATGGGGAGATTGGGCAACCTTGTCGTGTCCCTTTTTCTATCTTAAATTCTTCCGTCACCACATTATTTACAATTAATTTAGCCTTTTTCTCTGAATATATTGCACTTATACCGTTTTCAAAACCCGGCATGCTGTTATCATGGTGGCCAACCAGGTGCCTATTGGAAGCCTGCAAGCTGGAAGTGAGTTCAACAGCACTCTGCCCACCTGTGACCCCAGAAAATGGTATTTAGAGGTATAATGCTACTGACAGTGAAGCTAGAATATAGACTTGTCCTCCATGAGTATGTCCAACCCTCTAAGTTTGGTGGCCACCACATGAAAAAGTACTTTTTCCTCTTTGGGCAAGAGTCTTCCAACACTCAGCGTCATTGGATGTTCACAAGTTATACTATTATGAGAGAGGCATAAAAACTTTTCTCTATCCACTCTCTCGGGACATGAGTGGCAACATGGTCTAAACCACAGAGCCTAGGACTTGCTGATCCGAAGGTTGGCGGTTCGAATCCCCACAATGGGGTGAGCTCCTGTTGCTCGGTCCCTGCTCCTGCCAACCTAGCAGTTCGAAAGCACGCCAGTGCAAGTAGATAAATAGGTACCGATCCGGCGGAAAGGGAAACGGCGTTTCCGTGTGCTGCTCTGGTTTCGCCAGAAGTGGCTTAGTCATGCTGGCCACATGACCCGGAAGCTGTATGCTGGCTCCCTCGGCCTGTAAAGCGAGATGAGCGCCACAACCCCCAGAGTTGTCCACGACTGGACTTAACTGTCAGGGGTCCCTTTACCTTTACCTTTACCCACTCTCTCCATGCCGTACATCAGTGCTTCCCAATTAGCTAAGTACTGTGAACCCTCTGTTTTTCAAAAGCCAAACCATGGACCCTCTACATTTGAAAATTTTGATTATCTCTATGGTAGTTTTTGTTACGTGAATGGAACCCCTGGGTGGATTATGCGGACCCTCTGGGATCCACGGACCACCAATTGGCAACCACTGCCATGGATTACTTCACAGACTCCTATAATGTCTAACTCTTTCTTGCCCTATCTCTAAACTAAAAGGGCTCAAACGCTGCAGCCTTTCTTTATTTTGGCTGCCCTTTTCCTGAATCTTTCCCAACCCTACAATATGTTTTCCCCCTCACTGTCCTAAGGATTTGTTTAAAAACATACGGCTGTATCCAACTAAGTTTTACTCAGCCAGCCTATTGAAATCAATGTACCTAGGTTAGTCGGTGGGTCTACTCTGTGCAGGACTAGCATTGGCTACAGATTGGGGGAAGAATCAGGCTGGACCAGGCAAAAGGCTTCTCTCTTCCAGCATCCTGTTCTCACAGTGGCCAAAAAGATACTTTTGACTGTGGAGGACTTGGAAGACACCAGGATTCAAACTCCCCTCCTCAATGAGGCTCACAGGGTAAACTTGGGACAGTCACTGCTTTACAGGCTTGTTGGGACAATTGGGGAAATCACGTGCGCCACCTTGAGGTCCTTTGGAGGAAAAGCGAGCGATAACAGCAACGAATAAATAATAATAATAATAATTAGAAAGTACTGGCGATTCCCACCAACTGGCATTGAGGCGCGCACACAAAGGCTCTGACACTAGCAATAATAACCAACCTGCGTCTTTGCCGCTGATAGCCTTCGCCCATGAAAACAGTATTTCCAGCGCCGCACCCACACTGGTTTGGGGGCGCCCGCCCTCTTCCCCGCCCCTCGCTCCGCCTCCGGCCTCTGGTCCGCAGGGGGCGGCTATAAGAAAGGCCGGCCGGAGCCGGCAAAGGTGCAGCTGCTCCGCGAAGCTTGTGGGTTGTGATCGCGCTACTGAGACCATCCGAGCGCGCCAGAGACGCCCCCACAGCCGGAGGTAAGTGCGCCGCCACCGGGCAGGCGCCCCCGTGCGCTCCCGCCGCGCTCCCCGCGACCCCTTTCCGAAAAGCGCCGCGACTCGGAAGTCAAGTCCCGGAGTGAATCCGTATATTGTTTCCAAGTAAAGCCTCGCAGGCGGCGCAGCCCCAGAGCCGCGTTCCGCCGGATGGAGAGGTTAATGGGGGTGAACGCGCAAAGATAAGATCGGGGTTCTCTATCTCTCTCTCTCTCTCCCTTTTTTAGAGGGGCTTCTTCCATTTCTCGCCTACCCATCTCTGCGTCGAGGTTACGCGCTCGCTCGCACCGGGCTCGACCCACTTCCCAGGGGGGAAATGCACTGTTTTCGCCCAACTTCTGACCCACGAGGGCTCTTGACTCTTGAGTGGCGCGGTTTAGGGGGCGTCAAGTTGCTTTCTTCCGAGTAGCCCCCACTGAAATCGCTTGGGGCGGCCCCGCGTAACAGCACCCCGGGGGGTGCCGTTCAACAAGACTTTTGGTTTTGTGTGCAGCCAAGTTCTTCTCGGGCTTGAAGTTGTAGTTCTCGGGAATGTAGGCGAAAATCGCGCCGGCATTTTCTGCAGCTGCGTGGCGCTGCCGGCTGGTGATTGACCAGCCCTGGGGCCTTTTTCAAAAGGAAGCTGACCGTGAAAAACTCAAAACGTATTTAACGTATTTACATTTACTGGAGTTATTATTAGTAGTTGTATTGGCCCTTTAGCGGGTTTCATGAGAGGGCATGCTTTAAAAAAAATTTAAAATTAAAAAAGATCTTATTAGTTTGCAAAAGTACTGTACATGGATTGTCTTTTTTCAAGTTGTTTGCTACAGATCAATTACATTTGTGGAGAGACATTAGTGTTATATGCAGTATAAGGCTGGAGAAGAAAAGTGGGGGGGGAGAGGAGGGGTGGTGGTAAAACCTATATTCTTTCACTCAGTGTTATGTGTGGGGTTTTGTGTCAGTGTCCCTTGGGTAGGTTCCTTTTCTATTTGCTTGTTATATTTCCTTGGTAGTGAGAGGTTGGAGGAGACATGTTTTGTAAGTCACTCAGGCATCTTGTGAAAAGCTATGAATTAAGGTAATTAATCCTAACATCAGTGAGTGAGATTTTGAATTCAGTAAGACACTTTTATCAGGCTGGATGTTGATTGAAAAAAGGGGGGGTATTAGAAATTTATTTGTGGTTTCTTTAAAATACTACCTGGGACGTGGGTAGCACTGTGGTTTAAACCACTGAGCCTCTGGGGCTTGCGGTCCCAGCTCCTGCCAACCTAGCAGTTCAAAAGCACACCATAAAGTGCAAGTAGATAAATAGGTACCACTCCAGCGGGAAGGTAAACAGTATTTCTGTGCACTCTGTCTTCCATCAAGGTGTCCTGTTGCACCAGAATCTGTATTTGACGCATATTTAAAACTTAATGTAGAACAATGGTTGAATAAAATCACCACTTAAATGAGTGTTTTAAAAAAATTATACAAACTATATTCCACCACGTCATCAACATAAACTGTTAGCCTATTTGAATGCCTCTGGGAATAGGTTTTAAGTGCCAGGAAAGAGAAAAGCTGGATGAATAACCATTGAATACAAAAGATAAATTACTCTTTAAATACCGTTTTGAAAATATGTAAAAATTAATCAACACCTGATTTCCCTGGAGAGAGTTGTAAGCAATTCTACACATCATGAAAATGATATTGTGGGTTGTATAAAATGTCAATCTTAATTCAGAATTGACTTGCTAAAATGAATGGACGCAACAAACTTCGATACCACACCATCTTCTAATTTTTAAAGTGTAGAATCTTTTGTTACTATTATTTAGTTATGATTTATTTATTTAGCTTTGTATACAGTCCTATATCTGTAGATTTCGGGACAGTTGACAACATAAATTTGCAATATAAAAAACACAAAATACTGTACATAATAAAAATTGAAACAAAAACAATCCAGTAATCCCCCTTTTACAGGGTCGCAAAGGAAGGCCTCTCTCTCTCACACACACACCCCAAAGCCAACAACTTTAAAACATGGCCATAAATACGGTAATTACAAATATTTTGAGAACTTTGTACAAGCTGCCCAAGAACAGGGTGAATGATAGATAAATTGAAACAGCTAATCGCCAAGAAGAGCCTGACTGCTGGGTTGAACAAAAGGCCCCTCTAGTCCAGCTTCTTGTTCTCAGATGCCCCAATAGGAAGCCTGCAATTAGGCCCCAACAGCAACTCTCCCCACTCGTGACTTCCAGCAGCTGCTACACAGAGGCACATAAGGAGTGCAAAGAAGTCTTGCTGTTTTCTGCTGCACAGGTGAAGCAAGGGACCCCTCAAGGAAAAGAGACCTGTAGCCCCTGCATTATTACTTTTCTCACATTTTCTCAGAATGCTAGAACACTAGAAGAGAAATGGCTTTGTTGCTTGGAGTGTTGGAAGAAACCCAGAGAGGGAGCCTCCACAACAGTGGTACCTCAGGTTAAGAACTTAATTTGTTCTGGAGGTCCGTTCTTAATCTGAAACTGTTCTTAACCTGAGGTACCACTTTAGCTAATGGGGTCTCCCTCTGCTGTCGCGCCGCCGCCGCACGATTTCTGTTCTCATCCTGAGGTAAAGTTCTTAATCCAAGGTATTATTTCTGGGTTAGCAGAGTCTGTAACCTGAGGCGTCTGTAACCTGTACAGTGGTACCTCGGGTTACATATGCTTCAGGTTACAGACGCTTCAGGTTACAGACTCCGCTAACCCAGAAATATTACCTCAGGTTAAGAACTTTGCTTCAGGATGAGAACAGAAATTGTGCTCCAGCGGCGCAGCAGGAGGCCCCATTAGCTAAAGTGGTCTCCACGGACCTCCGGAACGAATTAAGTACTTAACCTGAGGTACCACTGTACTGCCTTATCTGCCTCAAGGCCCTGGAATGATTGTGCAAAGGGCAGAAAGCCTCAAAGGCTGACCTTAAGGCACTGGTTTTAGTCTGTGGGGGTGCAGTTGGTTTTTAAGGTAACAAGAGTCCTAAATTATTTACATCAGGAATGTGGCATCCCAGATGTAGTTTGGATGACAGCTCTCTTCACCCCCTGACCATTGGCCATTTTGGCCAGTGCTGGTGGGAGTTGGAGGGCAACAAGGGGGGGCACAGCTTCCCCATTCAAATTTTCAGCCTTAAAAGTCCCCATCATTTCTGTTTAACGGATGGAGGAGGGGGCAGGGAGAGAAGTCAATGGGCATGAATTTTTTGCCATGCCCTCTAAAAAAATAAATCTTCATCTTTCACCTCCTCCGTTCTCTTAACATTTAAACTGAAGAATCTTTCTGTTAGTCTCAAAATGTTCTTTGCCTACTTTGCAACATAAGTTCAGTTGGCCCTAAGATATATATTTCGTCCAGAGGTGAAAAGAAGATGTAGTAGCAACCAAGGAAGAGTGGCTAATTAAATTAATGGATTGTGCTTAAATGGCAAGGGTAACTGGTGTAATAAGAAACCAAGGGGGGGGGAGTTATTAAAGATTGGGGGGGGGGGGATTGGGGAATATTGGAAAATTCATGAATGCAAATACAGTAAGTTCTAGTGGGGTGCCACAGGGTTCTGTCTTGGGCCCGGTCTTATTCGACATCTTTATCAACGACTTGGATGATGGACTCAAGGGCATCCTGATCAAATTTGCAGATGACACCAAACTGGGAGGGGTGGCTAACACCCCAGAGGACAGGATCACACTTCAAAACGACCTTGACAGATTAGAGAACTGGGCCAAAACAAACAAGATGAATTTTAACAGGGAGAAATGTAAAGTATTGCACTTGGGCAAAAAAAATGAGAGGCACAAATACAAGATGGGTGACACCTGGCTTGAGAGCAGTACATGTGAAAAGGATCTAGGAGTCTTGGTTGACCACAAACTTGACATGAGCCAACAGTGTGACGCGGCAGCTAAAAAAGCCAATGCAATTCTGGGCCTCATCAATAGGAGTATAGCATCTAGATCAAGGGAAGTAATAGTGCCACTGTATTCTGCTCTGGTCAGACCTCACCTGGAGTACTGTGTCCAGTTCTGGGCACCACAGTTCAAGAAGGACACTGACAAACTGGAACGTGTCCAGAGGAGGGCAACCAAAATGGTCAAAGGCCTGGAAATGATGCCTTATGAGGAACGGCTAAGGGAGCTGGGCATGTTTAGCCTGGAGAAGAGGAGGTTAAGGGGTGATATGATAGCCATGTTCAAATATATAAAAGGATGTCACATAGAGGAGGGAGAAAGGCTGTTTTCTGCTGCTCCAGAGAAGCGGACACGGAGCAATGGATCCAAACTACAAGAAAGAAGATTCCACCTAAACATTAGGAAGAACTTCCTGACAGTAAGAGCTGTTTGACAGTGGAATTTGCTGCCAAGGAGTGTGGTGGAGTCTCCTTCTTTGGAGGTCTTTAAGCAGAGGCTTGACAACCATATGTCAGGAGTGCTCTGATGGTGTTTCCTGCTTGGCAGGGGGTTGGACTCGATGGCCCTTGTGGTCCCTTCCAACTCTATGATTCTATGATTCTAGGGTTAATGTAAAACAAGTTAAACATATTACTAAGAGAAACTAAAGAATAACTTAAAAATGGAGTAATGTGGAAAATAGGGACGTGGGTGGCGCTGTGGTCTAAACCACAGAGCTTAAGGCTTGCCGATCAGAAGGTCAGCGGTTCGAATCCCTGCGACAGGGTGAGCTCCCGTTGCTCGGTCCCTGCTCCTGCCAACCTAGCAGTTCGAAAGCACGTCAAAGTGCAAGTAGATAAATAGGTACTGCTCTGGCTGGAAGGTAAACGGCGTTTTTGTGCGCTGTTTTGATTCGCCAGAAGCGGCTTAGTCATGCTGGCCACATGAACCGGAAGCTGTACGCCGGCTCCCTTGGCCAATAAAGCAAGATGAGCGCCACAACCCCAGAGTCGGTCATGACTGGACCTAATGGTCAGGGGTCCCTTTACCTTTAATGTGGAAAATGCAGTATAAAAAGTAAAACTAAAAAGAAACCACAAAGGGGAGGGGAGGGAAGCCAGACGTTTGTACAGTATTCAAAATGTATGTGATTTGTCTTTTTGTAAGTTGTATCTCTGTAAATTTTTAAAACATCAAAAAAATTTAGATTGGAAAAAAAGAAAGATATTTGCCTAGTGTCACCTTAAGGTGGGTTCTGCTTCTTCCTCCAGCGTTGAATTGGCCTACAAATTCCAGTGTTTGTTTTCCCACTTCCTTGCTGGGTGTTAGCTTAGTGGCGGTTGGAAAGTTCCTGTTTCTCCCCTGATACTTTGCTAGCTGGATCTCTACTGACGCCCAAAGAGAGAAAGCTTTAGGCTGAAAACTTGTTTAGGAAGCCAAACCAATACTTTAACAAGCATAACTGCCACCTTCCCTCAGTGCGGTTTAGTGCAGGGATGCAGACCTATTTCTTGTTTTGATTAAGCTCTTTGTCCATTTTAATGCACCGGCATCAGCTTCCCTCCTCTTCCCAAACTCCAGGTGCCAATTTGTACCCTTATCCAGGGATGGAAGGAACCTGTAGCCCTCCATAGGTTGTTGGACAACAACTCACATTGTCCCTCACTATTGTTCATGCTGAGTGGGCCACTGGTGGGATTTGGCACCCAAGATCTGGAGGGTCAGGGATACTTCCATTGTTTAATTTTAAAAATTAAAATTCTGTGTGCATGCAGAGTGCAGTTGTGGAATCTTTTGGATATTACTGCATATTAGCACTATGTGGAATTTCATGAGTAAATGGGGAAGGTTTTTTGGGTGGGGGAGGAGGAAAGAGACGGGGGCACCTCCCAGGAAGAGTCTGTTATATAATTCTTCCAAAAGTTACCAGCTTGTATTAACCCAATCTTCAACCACTGTAAAAATGGACCTGTGTGATATCTCTTTCATTGTCCCCCACTACCCACAAATGAATATTGCATTGCCCTAGAGCAGGCTAGCTAGTAGGGGTGGGGTTGATTCACAGCAGATAACTCCTTCTCAGCTGTGAGATGTTTGAGATAACAATCCTATTCATTCCACCTCTGATCTGAGCCCCTGCAGCCACACTTATGCCTGGGCATGTGGTTAATCCAATCATACTAACCACCCCCTCCTCCAAAACTTCTAGCTCCTTCACCTCTTTCAGGGACAGCTGCTGAGGTTCTAACTGCTTAATGGGAGTGAGGCTGGGAAAAGAGATGTTGAGGGGAAGAGACCAGTTGTGCAAGTTTGGTGGTGCTTTCATTTGCCTAGGACAGGGGTCTGCAACCTTTAAGACAAAAAGAGCCACTTGGACCCGTTTCCGAAGGAAAAAAAACCCTGGGAGCCGCAAAACCATTGCGACATTTAAAGCATGCGCGCCGCTGCCCTCCGATCTGACAGTGGGTGGGAAGGTGACGACGGGACGGTGCGTGACTAATGCACACACTGCCCCCATGCGACGTCACAGCCAGTACAGCGCCCGCCACAGTGGGGAGTGTCGGGGCACACAATGCGCCTCCTCCCCTCGCTAGTATCCACCCCGGAGCCACGGCAAAGGAGTAAAAGAGCCACATGTGGCTCCGGAGCCGCGGGTTGCAGACCCCTGGCCTAGGAATACAGGGAGCTGCCTTATACAGACCGTTGTCCATCTAGCTCAATATTGTCCACTATAAGCAAGCCTTATTATCGCTTTGTTCACCTAGCAGCGCAAGGAAGGTTTGGTCATTTACCCCAGCAGATGAGCTTTGAAACTCCCACCCAGAGTTTGAAGGGGATCTAAAACGTCTTCCTTCCTCTCCTCCCTAGGTTGCCACCATGTCTGTGTCACACAGTTCCAAGCTGAACAAGGTGGTCAGGGACCAGTACATGAAGCTGCCCCTGGGAGACAAGGTGCTGGTCACATACATCTGGATCGATGGAACTGGCGAAGGCCTTCGCTGTAAAACCAGAACACTGAGTCAGGAACCAAAGACCATTGAAGGTAAGGCTGGGTGGCGGTTGCTCTCATCCTCTCTTGCAGGGGTAAGGAACCTTTTCTTTCAGCCTATGGGCCACGTTCCCCTCTGGAGAACCTTCCAGGAGGCCACATCAAGTGGCTGGAGGAGCCAGGGGCAAAAGCGGGCAGAGCTTTGGGTGTCACATGTCACCTCTGTAGTGCAGGCTAGTTTCTGCACAGCAAGGGCAAGGACGCATCCCACCCAGGCAAAAACACTCAGGGAATGGTGCAAAGCAGAGCCAGTAGGAGGTGTGGTTTGGAGAGTCCCGAGGGCCAGCTAGAAAGGCTTTGAGGGCCACATTCAACCTCTGGGCCTGAGGTTCCCTTATTCCTGCTCTCTTCGGTGGCTCTGTTTGTGGTTAAAAGTCATTCCAACACCTTGTGCGGTGTGACTTCCTCTGTTCTCTCTACCTGTTTACAGTCCAGCTTTGGATCTGTCGACTCCCAGCATAGTCACACCCAGGTAGCAATCTAGTATTAGGAGCTAGAAACTTGCAGAATCCTTTTTAAACAGGCAGGTCCCCAGACACCTGGCTTAATTATTATTTTTATTTTCTACTTTTGCTTCCTGAAATGTTTGCCAATGTAATTGGAAGCGACTTTTTACTTCCTTTTGGGGATTCTCAACTGCAGGCTGGGCTGCAGTTAATGTGGATGCCACTTGGCCTATGCAAATCCTCAGTGACAGAGACATGAATGAACCTGCCAGGCTTTGATTACAGGGAGTGGAAGAAGCAGGGCTGGGTTCCTTTTGATGCCCTCTTGTGCATCTTAAGGGGAGTTGTCTGTTAGGCTTTTTTACAGGGAAATGTCACCCCAAGCTGAATAACCCATTCATTCAATCATGTGTGAGGAACCTCTAGACTGCAGGCTTAATGAGCCGTACCAGTCCTCACATATTTGGCCAGGTCTCATCCACCTAATGTCACAGGAACATATGAGATTTACTTGTAGTGTATCAAGGCACTGGTCAATGTAGTTAAGTAGTTGTTTTTTTACACTGATTTGCAGCAGCTCTCCAGAACATTCCCAACTCTTCCTAGACATCCCAGGACTGGAACCTGGGGCCTTCTATGTGCAAGACAGATGTTCAACCTTCCCTCTGATGCCTGAGGTGTGGAAAGGCAGCTGAGTTGGCCCCAAATGGGCATCTAAAGTGCCGCTGAACTGTTGATCATCGGGACTTCAGGTCACAGCGTGTGGGTCTTTTCAAGCCCATTCCTAAGCATGATGCTTAGAAGACCGGGTGATCAGCTGGTTTTTCAGGGCTCCAGAGTGCAATGCAGGGCTCTTTACAGGCCCCTTGCAAAGTGACCTGTGCTGTGCCGTCAGATTTGGACCACAGCAGGTAGGGGAGATAAGGATCTGTCTTGCTGACCAGGTCCAGTTTTCCCAGCCGATGGTCTGAACTGAACCTAAAAAGCTGCCTTATACCACCTAATGCCACATACTGTTTGCTGTGCGCTGGCAATGTGTTGCATCTTGCAGTGCAGCAGCACCTTCTCTCTGGAACAGGGTGCCTTTAATGCGTTGTTCTTGGAACCTACTAAAAACTGGTCAGCTTGCTTAGGACAGGCTCCCCAGACATCTAAATTTATTATTAAGCATAAATGTGTTTACAAACAAAAACAACTACTGGTTTTATTTATATTGTGATAAATGTTTCTGCTTTTCTGTTGGAAAATAGTTTTTCTGTTTTTAATCTTTTTTTATTCTCTTAAGTGTATTTTCTTTTTGTTCTATGCAAACCGCTTAGGGGTTTTAGTTTATGTATATATAAACTGCCCACTCCAAGGAGTTGATTTATTAAATAATTGGTTAGTTGGTTACTAGTTGGTTAGCTAGTTAGTTAAATAAATAAATAAATGCAGGATCTGTCTACGGCAGGCATAGGCAAACTCGGCCCTCCAGATGTTTTGGGACTAAAACTCCCATCATCCCTGACCACTGGTCCTGTTAGCTAGGGATGATAGGAGTTGTAGTCCGAAAACATCTGCAGGGCCAAGTTTGGTCATGCCTGGTCTATGGGTTCATGTAGCTGAGTATTATTGCTGCTCACTGGAAGTGACTCTCCAGGATATTTCCACACCTGGGGCAAAAGCAGGGTGTCTCCCCTTGTCCTACCTGGAGATGCCAGGGATTGAACCTGGGTTCTTCTGCATGTAAAGCAGTTGCCAGCCTCTAATAGGTCTGGATTCAGTGGAGTGATACCTAAAACACCTTTATTTCAATCCCTCCTGCAGATCTCCCAGAATGGAACTTCGACGGATCCAGCACAGGCCAGTCTGAAGGCTCCAACAGCGACATGTTCTTGATCCCCGTTAAGATATTCAGAGACCCTTTTACCCTTGACCCCAACAAGCTTGTCTTATGTGAGGTTCTGAAATACAACCGGAAGCGGGCAGGTGAGGTCTTATTCAGTGTTCCATGCCCTTGAAGTTGAACAACCAATAAAAGCCTTTGCACACCTGCAAACCTTGGGCTTGAAGCAAAATGGCGTGTTGACATAACTTTTCTTCCTTGCAGAAACCAATCTGAGGAGCAGATGCAAGGTAATCATGGACATGGTCAAAGAGAGCCAGCCTTGGTTTGGGATGGAGCAAGAATACACTTTGCTGGGTGTCGATGGGCACCCATACGGCTGGCCCAAGAATGGTTTTCCAGGCCCACAAGGTAAGAAGAATAAGGCTTTCAGCTGAAATGGATGGATGCAGCTAGGGGTATGCGAGGACGTGCCTTCTGGCTGGCACCATATCAGACATACCGCGAGACTCTTTTGCTTTAATGACATATTACATATATAATGCAAGAATGAGCGGCATCCTGTAAATTGCCCTTGGACTACTTGATTAATTTATCTGAAGCACTGCTGACCTGCTCTTCAGTCAAATAAGGCTTCCAGATTTCATGTCACCCTTCTTGCCTTCAGGCTTAACCATCTAAAAGGCATCACACAAAAGTAAAAAGGGATGGGGAGGGAGGAGGAAAAAGAACCTTTCATGCGCTTCTTGGCCTAATTTAATTACCGTATTTTTTTGCTCTAGAAGACTCACTTTTTCCCTCCTAAAAAGTAAGGGGAAATGTGTGTGCGTCTTATGGAGTGAATGCAGGCTGCGCAGCTATCCCAGAAGCCAGAACAGGAAGAGGGATCGCTGCTTTCGCGATCCCTCTTGCTGTTCTGGCTTCTGAGATTCAGAATATTTTTTCCCTTGTTTTCCTCCTCCAAAAACTAGGTGCATCTTATAGAGCGAAAAATACGTAGTATGTTGAGGAGGGGGAAAGGAAGTGGCAGAGCAACAGACAAAAGATGTTGCTTTGCCAAGCTTGGTGAAATGCCATTGCAGCAAGGGTGGGGTTTTCTGACGGGGGGCAGGGGAGATCAGTCTTTGAACCTCTGCCTGTTGCTAGCAGGAGAATTCACAAATAGTCCCCTTTCCCCTAAAGGTTTTTGTAGATGTTTGTTATGCCATAAGTCAAGATGGTTGCCTGCCAAGATCCTATATAACTCGGAGATGAAAAACATTGGTGGTAGTTCATCTGCTTTGCATGCAGAAGGTTTCGGGTTCAGTCCCTGGCATTTACAGGTAGGGGTGGAAACCGTCCCTGACTCAAAACCTGGAGAGCCTCTTGCAGTCACTGCAGACAGTAATAAGCTAGATGGACCAAGGATCTAACCTGTACGAGGCAGCTTCCCACGTTTCTATGTTCCTGCCGTGTGGGACCAGATGCACTGTCCAGGCCTCTCCCTGGTTTTCTGTTTGCCAGGATGGATGATGGAAGAGATGTGAGTCAGTTAACACTTGTTGCTTCACCCACTCTGGCTGCTCCTGCCACTGGCTCCCAGAAGGTTCCTTCAGGACGGAATGTGGGCGTTGTCTAAGAAATGTTCCCCAACTCTGCTATGAATTGATGGGTCCCTGCTGCTGAGTCACAGATAAGGGCCTCAGAATGCTCATGTGATCAAGTACCGTCTTGCTGATGCAAGCAATACACATACATACATAAGCACACACACACAAACAGATATGCATGCTGCCTTGCAGTTGCCATCTGTGCATTGTGTATCTTGCAAATCATCTGACCTTTCCCTCCCTGACGTTGCTTGCCTGACCGGGCATTGCACAAAAGTTTCCACTCGCTAACCGGTTTGGTTGCGAAATCCTCCTTCGTGTGAGGGATTACTGAAAGGTGCATGCCAGGCCCTTTCAGCAAAGAGTGTTCTGCCCTTGCCATGCGCCTTGCAAGCAAGTCTCTGAACTGGGGCAATCAGTGGAGGCTGTTTTGTTAGGGCAAGTAGGGCACTGCCCTACCAACTTAAGCCTGCTCTCAGCCAGCCCCCTCAACATTTTTCTCTGACTCCTTTCGCCCTTCTCAGTGCACCCCCCTTTCTCCCATGCCTTGGCCACTGCTGTGCTGTTGTAGCCTGCCTTCGCTTTTGCTCCACTCTCCTGCCCTGACTCCACGCAAATCCAGATTGCGACACAGTACCTCAAATCCTCCAATGGGGGAATCTTATGTTTTTATTATATAGAGATAATTGGCGGGGCCCCTCTGGCCCTCCATATATTGTCAAACACTTTCTTCCACCAGCCCTGGCCAGCTTGGCCAATGGTCAGGGACGATGGGAGTTGTAGTCCAAAAAATCAAAAGGGCCACGGCTATAAACAGAGGTAAAGTCTGGAGGTGTTACTTGCTATGTCATAAATAAATCTTGGCAAGTGCTGGGACCCAGTGCTTTTTTCCTGGAGGTACTCAAGGGTACTCAATACAGCGCTTTCTATAACAAATTCATGTTGAGTACTGGCACCTTTTTTCTTTTTCTTTTTAAAAAGCAAAGGATGGACCTAACATTTTAACAGGTGAAGACTGTGTGTAAGGAAGAGGAGAAAGATCCCAATGGCGGTTTTTCCAACTTAGCGGAGACATTCCCTTGTCCCTGTCTCTCTGTCTTTGTTTCTTATGCAGTTCTTTCCTAAGATGGCACCTCCTGTTGGATATGCACATATCTCATAACAAAGCAGCATGCTAATAGTGTGTGTCATGTGCTTTTTCTTTCCTAGGACCTTATTATTGTGGCGTTGGGGCCGACAAGGTGTACGGGCGTGACATAGTGGAGACCCATTACAGGGCCTGCATTTATGCTGGTGTGGAGATCTGTGGCACCAATGCTGAAGTCATGCCTTCTCAGGTATGTATAAAGAGGACCTATGGGGCATCCGTTTTGCATGCAGGTCCCAGGTTCAACCCCAATGGCATCTCCAGGTGGGGCTGGGTGAGACAGGAAGATGTGGCATGCCAGTTGCTGGCTCTTACTACAGCTTATTGCTTCCCCTTATTGCTCTTATTTTGATCTGCCACCTGCTCCAGCCCTCTTTTCTTTTAGGGCCACCTGGCAGAGTGTGTCAACCTTGAAGGTTAGGAACCTGTTTCTTTTTGCACTAATAGCATCTCTTTCTACCTGCAGTGGGAATTCCAGGTGGGGCCTTGCGAAGGTATTGAGATGGGTGACCACCTGTGGATGGCGAGATACATTTTGCATCGGGTCTGCGAAGACTTTGGGGTCATCGCCACTTTGGATCCAAAACCAATAACCGGCAACTGGAATGGCGCTGGGTGCCACACCAATGTCAGCACGAAAGAAACAAGGCAGAAAGGGGGTATCAAGTGAGTGGATTTTCCCGTCTAGACAACTTGAGTGGATTATTTGAGGGTCTGTGGGTGGAGCTGGAGCCTCCCCAAAACACTGCAGCAATGTTGTCTCCGTTTGCTTGCTTAAGTTGTTTGCCTTCTGGCGGTTCCCTCACTGCAAGAAGCCAAGTTACAGGGAACCAGGCAGAGGGCCTTCTCGGTGGTGGCACTCGCCCTGTGGAACGCCCTCCCACCAGATGTCGAAGAGAACAACAACTGCCAGACTTTTAGAAGACATCTGAAGGCAGCCCTGTTTAGGGAAGCTTTTAATGTTTGATGCATTACTGTATTTTAATATTTTGTTGGAAGCCGCCCAGAGTGGCTGGGGAAGCCCAGATAGATGGGCGGGGTATAAATAATAAATTATTATTATTACCCTGGTGTTTTGCTGTAGCCCACCCACTCCATCGTTTCCACTGCTGCTGTCCTCTCACTCCACTTGGGCAGAGAAGATGAATGGCGACGCCATGCAGAATGCCAGGCCTCTTGGCAAGCAGGGGGTGGGGGCATTCTGGAGTATGGCTGAAGTGGTGGGGGGCTAGTGGGAGTGCCCAGGAGGTGACGCTTTCCCATTTTGCCTCAGGTGGCAAGACTGTACAAGCCACCTCTGGTTATTTGACTGTCAGGTGTGCTTCTGTATTTGCCAGGCTTGTAGCAAGGGCTGCCTTGGAGGAGGTGCTTCCGCTTGCGCCTATATAATGAACAAATGCCAAATTGTGCAAAAAGTGTCTGGAGGCTCCTGCTCCTCAAATCATGTGTAATTTTCCCCATTAAAACTATATTGCAGAGGGAGTGTCGCCAAGCTTCCAGTGTAAGATTTGGGGCTGTCCCTTTCAGGGGAAATACATAAATTAATATAATAAAAGATTTCTGTTGAGTTCCAATTACAATTCAAGTTACCAAGGTCATACATAGTATCAATTCTTTTGACAATATCTACCATTTGTACAATCAAAAATATTCAGAAGCACTAATTTTGGACAGTGATCAGTGGTTTGCTTTTGTAAAATTTATGGTCACTGTCAGAATAGGTTTCCAGAAATCTTCTACCAACATATTCCCATCTTAAAGTTATATACAGTGGTACCTCAGGTTAAGAACTTAATTCATTCTGGAGGTCCATTCTTAACCTGAAACTGTTCTTAACCTGATGGGGCCTCCTGCTGCCGCCGCGCTGCCAAGATTTCTGTCCTCATCCTGAAGCAAAGTTCTTAACCCGAGGTACTATTTCTGGGTTAGCGGAGTCTGTAACCTGAAGCATCTGTAACCCGAGGTACCACTGTATACAAAAAATCTCTCTCCCTCTCTCTCTCTCTCTCTCTCTCACTCACACACACACACACACACACACACACTCACACTCTCTCTCTCTCTCTCTCTCACTCACACACACACACACACACACACACACACACTCACACTCTCTCTCTCTCTCTCTCTCTCTCTCTCACACACACACACACACACACACACAACATTTTTGACATTTGCAGAGAGTGTGATGCTGTCTGTGCTGTAATTTCAAGAAGTTTTCCTGAACGTAAATACTCTGTCTTGCTTTTCTAATGTGCTCCATCTGACACTTGAGTCTGTGATTGTCCTGCTCTCCAGAAACGCACTGTCTCTGCCCTGCCATCACAGTCGCTCCCAATACTTTTTTGCTTATTTTTCCCTGGTGTGCCTGCAGTTCCTTAACACGTATTTTTTTCTGCCTCTCCTCTTCAGGTTCATTGAAGCTGCCATAGACAAGCTGAGCAAACGCCACAAGTACCACATCCGCATGTATGACCCTCGCGGGGGCCAGGACAACTCCCGGAGGCTGACGGGCCAACATGAGACCTCCAACATCTTCGAGTTCTCGGCTGGCATTGCCAACCGTGGGGCCAGCATCAGGATCCCCCGCCAAGTTGGGCAGGATGGCTGCGGGTACTTTGAGGACCGCCGCCCCTCTGCCAACTGCGACCCATATGCCGTTACGGAGGCCATTGTGAGAACTGTCCTCCTCAATGAGTCCGGGGACGAGCCAGAGGTTTATAGCAACGAGGAACGGTTGCAGAAGGCGGCCGACGAAGACTAAGCCCCCATGGCCCTCTCACTCCCTAAAGTGTTGTCCCGTAGCAGTTAGTAAATGGCTGACATCTTTGGAACTCCTCGCATCGTGACATGTTGACTTACAGAACATATTTCTATATGTATACATATATATTTTTAGGAGAGAAAAATTATTTTCCTAGTGGGCTTAACAAGTTCCCTGGTTGTTGTTGTTGTTGTTGTTGTTGTTTAGATCATAATGTGGGCTTTTGAAGTACGGGTGGGGGGAACTTGTGGCCCTCCAGTGGTTGTTGGACTCTCGTTCCCACCAGCCCCAAGCCAGCAGGGCCAGCGCTCCTGGATGATGGGAATTGTAGTCTAGTGGTATCTGAAGGGCCTGCATGTTCCCCAACCTTGCTTTATGGTTGGGCTTGTTTCTTTGTTTAAGTTGACTTTGTAAGTGGGAAGATCAAGTTTTGTATAAATTTGTACACTCCTCCCACCCTTTTTCTGTCTCCACTACAATGAAATAATAAAGTGCAAGATCTTAGCTGCTGTTGGCCCCAGTGTTCATTTGGTTTGTGCATCATTGAGGCAAATCGTTTAGAACAACATGCCCCATGATTGCAGAGGTGCGGTCTCCAAAAGCCATACCATTCCCTGGCTCTGCTTTGCACCCTGAGTACATTTGCCAGGCTGGAATGTGTCCTTAAAACCTGATCGTGCCTGCTACTTGTGCGGGTGGAGGACAATAATATTATTTTTATTTTATTATTGGCTGTGATTTGCCCAGGTCACTCAATGAACTTCATGACCAAGTGGGAAGAGTTGAACCCAGATCTCCCAGGTCCTAGTCCAACCCTCTAGATCAAGCAGACTCCTGCAGTGCTGTGCTATGACATTAAGCCCTCGTAGAACAAAGGGTGTTAGAGAATTGGGGGAAAGGGAATAACTGAAAACTCTGCAGGCACCTGATGGGAGTTTGCCAAGGAAGTGAGAGGGCAGTGCTGAGTTTTCAGAAAGACTTGCAAGCCTTGTAAGGAAACTCCACCACCTGTCCTGTCAGCCCATGGGCAGGGGACCGGATGTAGGCCAGCAAGGTCCCTGTGGGTGCAGCTACCCACCTGCAATCACCTGACATTACTGTTGCAGCACGTAACCAGTTTTTTACATTGGCAGCCTGGCCTGAATTCAAAACAACTGGATTCCTACCACATGTAATAAGATTAACATTTGGTCCTGATACCTGCCAACAAAAATTGTGGGGGGGTGTGTTTGTGGCTGTGTGTCAGGATTTCCTTGGGTCCAGCAGCTGTACTGTCGGTTGGAATTACTACACTTTTATTGCAGGAGTGGAGAACTTTTTCCCCACCTTTAAGGGCCACATTCCCTTCTGGGTCTTCCATGGGGCCATATGCCAGTGTTGGGCAGAAAGAGAAGCAAAAAGGGGCAGTTAAGGAGTCTAAGGACATATTCCAGCAGGGCAAAAGCAATCAAGGAATGTGTAAATCATGGCTGAGTAAGGGGTGTGGCCTTTAAAAAGTTCCAAAAGCCAGATGGAAAGACCTGCAGGCTGCATTGTGCCCCCAGGTCTAACCCTTTGCATCCTCAGAAACACTTTTAAAAAATCCAAATAATAGGTTATTGTGCCAAGAGAACACCTAGAATAATGGCTTGAGCCAGCTCTGAATTTTCCCTGCTGCCTTTTTAAAAATCTCCCTTCGTCAGAAAACTAGCACTACACAGAATAAGCCATGTGCCAGAATGCTCCCTTTTGGTGGGCTAGTTTAGAAGCACTCCAACTGTGGTCCGTGGACTTCATCCAGCTCACACTTGGAAAAGTTGCAGAACAAGAGAGAATGTGTTTACTTGGCCTGAGACCTCCTTTCCCTCCCTGGAGGCAGAGATATGAAGCTCTTTTGATCAGGGCCAGATTAACAAACAGGTTTAACAAAGCCCTGCCCAGGGGACTCTGATACTCATATTACATTTGCAGGTGAAGTTGACTCATTTGTCTCTTCCAAATGTACCAGGGACTAGGGCACCTCTCAACAGCCCAGGCTCAGGCATGTGGTTTTCAGCACAGCAGTCAGAAGTGTGTTGGTCCACCAAGACACGTGGCAATTTCCAAGTGGTCCACAGTTCATTAGGATAGTTTGGGAACTGCTGTGTATATCTTCCTATATACAAAGAAGTACTGCTGTTGTCACGCTCTGCAGTGGCCACCACTAGGTAGTGTGGCCGTACCAACTGCAGCATAAGGAATGGCAGGCAGACCCAGGCAAGCCGTTTAACAGAGGGAGGGAGGCACCTACAGTGAGATTTAACAGAGCAGGTGCGTCACACAGCAGTTTAGCAAGTTGTTGTGTGAAGAGCTCCATTAAACAAGCCTGCAGGGATGTTGAAGAGGGAAGCTATACAGAGCAATTTAGAAAGTAAGCAGCGTTAGCGAGTGGAGTAAGCAGTCCCTAGCAATATCTTTCTACCTAGGAAATCATATATAAATTACATTCCTTCCCTGCACCTTGAAGGGGTGCAACCTGTTCTATCACCTCTGCATACCCACCACATTCAGAGACACCTTTAGAACACCATAGCCAGACACTGGAGAGACCTGTCAGGAGTAAGCATGGACCAATGGTACCAAATAGTATGGGAAACAGCCCTAGTAGAAAAATTAACCAACAAACTGAAACTGACATGGGGACATATAGAAGAAGACACCTTCACCCCAGTTTGGCTCCCCTTTATCACATACACAGCCCAACAAGACAATGACAATAATCCACCAACAGCATACAAATCAATATGGCTCACCTGATCCAAAACACCCACCCACCCAACTCACACACGAAAACTAAGATCACCACAGCCAATCACAAACAAACAACCACGCCATAGACCAACCCCAACCTCTCTCACCACCAAAGAAACACAAATGAACAGCATGAGCGATGCTGACACCAAACCCTACATACATTAAGCAAAATAGAAACATCGCCACCCAACCCCCACCCATCTTCCCCTCCTCCACCCCTTTTCTTCCTAATGTCTCAACAAATGATGTTTTTCTCTTTTCAAGAACTGCATGACACATTCTTTGTTGGCACCCTTTGGTTTTTTCCCTTTATTTAACCATTTTTGTTTTATTTTTCATTTCTGTACCGTATTCTTGGAATATGTTATTTTATACATGTACTGCCAACTGACCCAGGTTGGGAAGCTTTTCAAAGGTCTTGTGGAGTCTTGTTTTTTAGACCACCAATGTGCCCTTTAATGACACATTTAGGGTACGTATGTGTAGTGGGGGCAAACAATAAATCTTGTGGACTAGCAACTTGTCTAGAATTTTACCAGCTTGCCTTTGGGGAGCATATGAACAGGAAGGGATGGCCTTTGGGATACGGAACTTACAGCCCACCAGATATGGTTGGACTTGCAACACTCATCATCCTTAGGGCCGGCCCACCGATGGGGCAAGTTGAGGCAACCACCTTGAATGGCAGGATCCACAGGACCAGCAGATCCCATTGTTCCCACTGTAGATCTTCACTCACGGCTTCTTCCCTGGTGGGGAGGGGAGACATCATATTGTGCTCGCTTCAGGTGCCAAAATTTCTTGGGCCAGCTCTGAGCATACCTGACCGTTGTGCTGTGCTGGCTGCAGTGGCATAGCTAACTGCTTGGGTGCCTGGTGCAGCACATGTGTCCTGCAGCCAGGGGCGGGGCGAGCTGCCCGTGGGGGCGAGGCAAGCCAAGGCAGGGTGTGCTGTGTGGAGCCTCTCTGCAGCCTCCCCCTCAGTTGTAGGGTGGCTGAGGTGGTGGGCAGACACAAGCCCTGCACTGATTGAAATAGCAGCGCAGAGCTTGCAGGCAGTCTGCCCGCCGCCTCCCCCTCAGGAGAGACGCGTGACTCAGGCACACTGCAAGCCCTGCAGTGTGGCACCTAGTGCCTAGCTACCAGTGGTGTAGGAAGGGGGTGCGGTGGGTGCAGGAGATTTTCTCCCCTCCCCCCCAAAAGTGCTGTGAGCCTAGTTGTTGTTGTGTTTTTTTTTACCAACAATCAAACACAAACAGTGAAACCCCCCCCCCAGGCGACTGATTCATTGGGTATACATAATCAATAATAACATATTCAAATCAAGCATATGTACAATTTTATATACGTTAACACTCCTCCAGCCACAAGGTTTATTTAACTTTTAACATTTTAATTTCCCCAAATTGTTGAAACCTACCCAAATAATTCAATATCTTCTCAAACCAACCCTCCTCTTTCTCGCTGACCTTAAACCCTTTCATTCTGTGTATCTTCACAGTTAGATATTCTAAAATTATAATGTTATTCAGTTTTTTCCTCCATTGGTTCACCCCTAGCTCTTCTGCATTTTTCCAATTCCTTGCTATAACCTGTCTGGCTGCAGTTACCATCAATTTTACCCATTTACATTCCTCTTTTGTTTTTAACTCGGTGCTACTCAGACTAATAAGAACCATTAATTTAGATATTCTCACCTTCCTACCCACAATTCCCGATATTTCTATACCAATCTGTTTCCAAAATTCATTAACTAACAGACAATCCCACCACATATGATTGTATGTTCCCATCACTCCGCATTTCCTCCACCAATTCTTACTTACAGATTTTGTAATAGGATATAACCTTACAGATGTATAATACCATTTTTGTACCAACTTCAACCCCTGTTCTTGGATTATCCTAGAGGCCGCAACAAAGGGTTGCACCCTTTGGTGAGCCCAGTTTTTAAAACACATATTTTTGCCATTTTGTCACCCCCTCCGTGATGACATCCGGGGCAGCCCGCACCCACCACACACCCCCTTCCTGCGCCACTGGCTGGCTGGGGCTTAATGGGGGTTGGGTGCTGCAGAAGGGTAGACAAAGTTCTTTTCCCCTAAGCATATAGGAGTGTAGCTGGATCTGACAAATCTGCAAAGTGCTTGGGATGTGGAGGAGTGAGGACTAGCTGACTGACTCAGCCAAGGGAGAGAGCTTCTTAGAGGCTTCCTTCGTGTCACGTGGCTTCGTCCTGCAGTCAGATGAGAGCCATGGATTGGCTTCACCCCTCCTTAAGCACATCAAACAAACCGAACAGGAGGCAGCCTCAGTAAGGATCGCTGCGTGTTCACACACCAGCTGTAAGCGGGGTGGGGAGAGTTTGTGTTATTTTAAAACATGTATATTTTTGCCTTTGCTTTTGAAAAAGAAAGAAAAAGATATTCAAGCAGGTCAACTGCAAATTGCATAATAAAAACACAGGATCAAGTTACTAAAAGAAAAAGGAAAATGACATGGATTTGGCATAAGAAGAGCTCTTAGTCTAGCCTCTGGTGCTCAGCCAGGTGCCCCTGGGAAACTAACAAGCATGATGCAAATGCAACAGCACTCTCCCCATTTGAGACTCTGAATAGCAACTGCAACTCAAAGGCACGTTTCCTCCTTTCTAGCTAGGAGAAGGAAAACTCTGAATCTATACCTTTGCTGCCTTATGGGATAACTTTGGGAGAAGAACAGGTTCAGGAACA